GTGTTGTACCCGAGACCCGGGGTCTTATCGAGTAGCTATTTTGTGGCGGATTTGCGCAAGGAAATGGATGATGGAATTGAAGGGATGAAATATGGAGTGTGGGAAAGAGTTCTTTTTGGTGTTTTTAATGAGAGAAGAAAATAAGTTTAAGAAGAAGAAATGGTGAGAAATGAAATGGGCAGAAATAAAGTGAAGGGATAAACCAAGTTGGTGTTAAGAGATATGACACACTCTTATCTTAACTTAGGGCTTTTATCTTCTTTTACACATTAATAATCACTACTAATGTATAAAATTAGACTCCTAACACGCACTCAAAAGTAGCCAACTTTAGAGATATTTCATTAGGAAATTTGGTTAAAATAGCATCACACTATTTTAAAGAATTACTCAAAGAGTAAAACAAAGACTTTTAATTCAATAATCTGGTTCTTACAATGGCCTCAGGGCTGATGTATTTATACAACAACAAATAAGGAAAAATACAATAAAGGAAACTTCCTACTTCTTTCCTAAAAATCAAAGATTTATGTCCTTCCATGTGAGCTGATTTTCCAAGATGCTTCTCCTGATTTTGGGCTGATCTTCCTTGGGTTTATTTAGGGAGAATTTCGTGCATATAAGGGAGAAAACAAAGGGGAATCAAGCTTTAGACTTTTTTGAATAAAATGCCAAAATAGCATTATTCATTCAATGACTTTGTTTCTGATTTTGTTCCTTTGTTTCAAAAGTGATTATGCTTTTGTTTTGTGAAACAAAAGACTTTATTCTTTGTTAAAAATCAGGGGATAATTTCAGCTTTATATCCAATCTTAGGATGAGCAAACAGGAACTGATTCACTCAGGGTTCAGAGACGTAGGAATAATCGATTAGCACATTTAGTAAATCGATTAATTGAGTTTAGCTCAAAATGGGAATGTTTTGAGGAACCCGATAATCGATTGACACTACAAGACAATCGATTTACAAGGACTTATTCAGAACTGGATATTTTCTGAGGGTGAGGATAATCGATTACCAAGTTATTGAAAATCGATTATGAGAAGTTATGGACTTTGAAGAAGAATCTGCGGACTTCAATAGTCGATTATCAATTAAGGATAATCGATTATTTAGGGGTTCAAAATCAGGATTAGAAGAAAAGAAGGGAAGGCATTATTTGGGTAAAAAAAGGATTTGAAAAGAAACAAAGGTTTTAAAAGATAATAAGAAACTAAGGTTTGACTTGTCTTCCTTTGATTTCATTTTTTGACCCGGAGTTAAAAATTGATGGGAAAGACTTTATTTTGAATTAAAGAAAAGAAAGAAGACTTTTGGATGTGTGGGGGAGTTTGGGGTTTTGGTGGAGCCATCCAGGGGTACATCACTGCGCTCCATGCAGACGAGGGCTTCTTCATCCGAGCTTGAGCTGGATGACTCGTCACTTTCAGCAGCAACCATTGCCTTCTTTTTCTTCTCGTTCCTTTCTCTTTCTCCGTTCTTCTCCACCTTTGGGTACGGGCATGCTGACTTCTAGTGGCCAGGCTTCCTGCAGTTATAGCATAAATAAGATTCAGGAGGGGAGTCACTTACATGTGGCTTTCCCTTGGATGGCCTTCTGACTGAGTCAGCCTTTTTGAAGAACTTCTTGAACTTCCAGAATTGCTTGACCATCATGGCAAATTCCTCATCACAGTTCTCCATTTTTGAGCTTGACGGTTGGCTGGAGGAAGGTGTGTCACAATTCCTTGGGCATGTCCCTTCACTTGTTGGGACTTTTGGAGTTGTCATCAATGTCGTAGGGAAGGGAGTGACTTGTTCTTCCTTCTTCTTCTTCTTCAGCTCGTGCTCATAGGTTCTGAGCTCATCAAGGAGACCTTGGACAGTGTAGTTCTCCAGGTCTCTTCCTTCTTCCATGGCTGTGGCTTTGGTGTACCACTCGGTTGGAAGTGATCTCAGTAACCTTACATTCTTTTCCTTGGGAGAAAGAACGTGGTTAAGTGATGCAAGATCATTTAAGATTTTGTAGAACCTTTCATCCAACATATCAAATGATTCTCCGGGAAGCATTTTGAAGCTTTTGAACTTCTCAAGCAGGACTTCTATCTTCTGCTTTCTCAGGTCCTCTGATCCCTCACATAGCTTCCCAAGACCTTGCCAAATCTCCATGGCAGTCTTTAGATGCTTGATCTTGGAGAAGGTGATGGGATCAAGTGTCTTGAAGATGGCTGCTTTGGCGACGTTGTCCAGATTGTGCTTTTTGCAATCTCTATCATCCCATTTTTCTTTGGGCTTTGGAATGTACTGGACTACATCAGGAGCTTCTGGATTCCTCTCAGGGTTCTCCATTTGAATTTTCAAGGGTCCATCCTCAAGCACCATCCACATGCAATCATGTAGAGCGTAGAGATGTGCTTCCATCATGATCTTCCAATCATCATAACCTAGAAGAGAAAACTTGGGCAAACCGTGATCCATATTGTTCACCATTATGATCGCTTCTCGTTAATCTAAATGTAGATAATGAGGAGTTAGCTCTGATACCAATTGGTGGTCCCAAAGTGGTGAGATACAAAGTCTAGAGGGGGGGTGAATAGACTTTGTTACAAATTTTAAAACTTTTTCGTTTCTTTTGAAAACGTGAAAATGAGTGTTAATCTAGAGTTATTGTGAACTTTAGATTGTGTGCGGAATTTGGTGGGTAGAGTGAGCAGTAATCAATATGGATGGGTTAGTTTTCACAGTTAATATAATTGTAAATAAGAATAAAGATAAAAGAGAGAGACACGCAAACTTTAACGAGGTTCGAAGGTGGGGTAATCCTTCTACGTCCTCAAAATCCACTATGTAGTTGGTTGTTGAATAATGAACCAACAATTACACTTGTGTGAATTTCTTCACGGTATATCTTCGCAAGGCCAATGTTGCTACTGCACTCGTGCTGGCTTTGTTGTTCCTTCGAAGGTCACGCTTCTTCAACAACTGCAAGATCCGAACAATAGGACTTGCACGATCAACTTGTAAGAAAGTTGACCTACCCCCTTTCAATCAATAAGTTTGATCAAAAGTTGTATCCTTTAACGTGGTGTGGTACTTGAGGCAAGGAAACCTTCAAGTGTTTACACTATAGCTCTTTGGAAGGAGGAGAAGTTTGCTTCTGGATAAGGAGTTTAGAAATCTCTATTTATCAAGCTTTTTGGGCTAACTGTGAATGAGATATCTTTGTTGTTAGAGATTGCTTCATTGTGTTATTCTATCTCATCATCGTGTCTTCTCCAGTCTTCCAAGGATGCTATTTATAGCTAGATTGGATAATCTATCCGTTGAATCTCAATAGACTATCTGTTGCATTTGCTGGCTTCAATTTTGAATGAAGATTGTGATTTGAAGATTCCTCGTTGAAGTGGGTGTTTGGACATACCCAATTGTTTGAGGAGGGATTCTTATTTTCCCAGAATCCATCTTCTAGCTATTGATCAAAAATTCTAAACTGCAGCACTTTACTTTGTTTGTCTTCTAGTGCTTGTTTGGGAATTCTGGACTGGCTCTTTAGTTTGAGAGGTCCAGACCTTGTTTTCGAATCATTTGTTCTTGAATTAGCATGAATATCTTCAATCTAGCCGTTGAAAATCAAGAGATTGATTTTTCCTTACCAACGGGTAGAATTTCTTCATTCAAGACTTAGATAATTTTCTAAGTCTTTTCTCACTTGTCCGCTTTTTGAGAATTCCGGTCTTTCTTGAGTCTTCCGGTTCTTAGCTGACAAATCCGGAGGAGTCATTCTCAGACTTCCGGGTGAGAAATCCGCGCTAGTCTTCCGACTTATCCTTCAGCGGGTTGTAGCGAGACATCCGGTTCTCATGTAGTCTTCCGGATTAGAGGATTTTCATCAGCTTTGAGAAATCCTTACTTGTCTCTGACATTTCCGATCAAGATATCCAATTTCCATATAACTGAATTTGATTAAGTCTTCAAGTATCAAACCACTAAAAGAAATATCACAACTTTATTGGAAATCTCAAGAACTCGGTTTTGACAATATTTCTAAAAAGAAAAATTACATTGAATATTGGGGGAGACCTAAAGTCCCTATTATATTCTAAATACATCATCATCAAAATCTATAATATTTTTCCCAACAGAAGTTAACATGTCTATGTCTTCATCATGGGTACTAGATACTGAATGTGGGTCTCATATCTGTACTACCATGCAGGGACTGAAGCAGAGTAGATGGTTAGCTCGAGGCGAGATTGAACTCCGAGTCAGCAATGGTGCACCTGTTGCAGCTTTAGCAATCGGAACTTATAGTTTAGTCTTGCCTAGTGGTCTAATGTTGGAATTAAACGATTGTTTGTACGTTCCTGCAATTAGCAGAAACATTATTTCTGTTTCATGTCCTGATAAGAGTGGTTTCATCATTTCTATTAAAGACAAGTCCCTTTCCGTTTACAGAAAGAATGTTTTCTATGCTAATGCCAACATGACCAATGGGTTATATGTCCTTGACTTGGACATGCCTGTCTATAACATATCAGCCAAGAGGAACAAACCAAACGGTTTGAACCAAACATACCTATGGCATTGTAGGTTAGGCCATATAAATGAGAAACACATATCCAAGCTACATCGGTCAAGAATGCTGGAGTCATTTGATCTTGAATCATATGACACATGTGAATCTTGTTTATTGGGTAAGATGACCAAATCTCCTTTCACCGGACACGGTGAAAGAGCTGGTGATCTTCTGGCACTCATTCATAGTGATGGGTGTGGGCCTTTCAATACAACTGCACGAGGTGGTTATTCATATTTCATCACATTTACTGATGACCTCAGTAGATATGGCTATGTGTATCTCATGAAACAAAAGTCAGAATCCTTTGAAATGTTTAAAGAATTCAGGAATGAAGTTGAAAAACAACTTGGCAAAAGTATTAAAACACTACGATCCGATCGAGGTGGAGAATACTTAAGTGGTGAGTTCGATGACTATCTTAGAGAGCATGGGATTTTATCCCAACTCACACCTCCTGGGACTCCACAATGGAATGGTGTCTCTAAAGGAGGAATTGAACCCTGCTTGACATGGTTCGTTCTATGATGGGTCATTCGACTCTACCAGAATCATTCTGGGGGTATGCGCTGAGCACTGCAATATATACTCTTAACCGAGTTCCAACCAAGGCGATTGAAGGAACACCATACCAGCTATGGATGGGCAAATGCCTGGTTCTGTCACACTTAAAGATTTGGGGCTGTGAGGCTTATGTCAAACGTCTTATGACAAATGGCAAGCTTGACGCCAAGTCTGATAAGTGTTTCTTCGTGGGATACCCAAAGGAAACTCGAGGGTATTCATTCTATCACCCTATCGATAAGAAGGTATTCGTTGCTCGCAATGGTGTCTTCCTCGAGAAGGAATTTCTCTCCAATGCAACTAGTGGGAGAAAGATAGAGCTCGAAGAAATTCAAGACGACGAAGAAACTGCCGCGCCGGTTCAGGAACATGAACTAGAGGAACAAACCGTTGTACCTCAAAATGCTCAAGATACACAAGAACCTCGCAGGTCTAACCGGTTACGCACACAACCTGAAAGGTATGGATTCCTCCTAACCTTTGAGGGTGACATAATGCTTATCGACCAGGATGAGCCGGAGACCTACCTCTAGGCAATCAGTTGTCCCGAGGCTGAGGAATGGCGTCAAGCCATGCAGTTCGAAATGGATTCCATGTACACCAACCAAGTATGGACTTTGGTTGATGCACCCAAAGGGATCAAACCCATTGGGTGCAAATGGGTCTTCAAAAGGAAGACTGACATGGATGGTAAGGTGCAAACCTTCAAGGCACGATTGGTAGCAAAAGGATATCGTCAAATACATGGTATCGACTATGACGAAACTTTTTCTCCAGTTGTCATGATTAAATCCATTCGGATCTTACTTGCTATCGCAGCATACCACGATTACGAAATCTGGCAGATGGACGTCAAAACGGTTGGAAACCTCCTTGAGGATGTCTTTATGACACAACCTGAAGGGTTTTGTGCTCCTGAAGAATCTACCAAGGTATGCAAGTTGCAGCGATCAATCTACGGATTGAAGCAAGCCTCACGGAGTTGGAACATCCACTTTCACGAAACTGTCATCGGCTTTGGTTTTGAAAGAAATTCGGATGAATCTTGTGTATACAAAAAGGTCAGTGGGAGTGCTGTAGTCTTCCTTGCTCTGTATGTTGATGACATACTGCTCATAGGAAATGATATTCCTACTTTAACCACCGTCAAAATGTGGTTGAGTAAGAGTTTCTCTATGAAGGACTTGGGAGATGCCAGTTATGCACTTGGCATAAGGATCTATAGGGATAGATCACGGAAGCTGTAGGTCTCAGTCAAAGTACATACATAGACAAGGTCCTCGCTAGATTCAGCATGTCTGAATCGAAACGAGGAAGTTTGCCTATGGTCCAAGGCACGAGTCTTTCCAAGACTCAGGGTGCTTCCACTCCAGAGGAAGTAGAACGCATGAGAAATGTTCCTTATGCGTCGGTCATTGGATCCATCATGTATGCGATGGTATGTACGAGACCTGATGTCGCCATTGCTTTGAGTGTCACGAGTAGATACCAGTCCAACCTAGGCGATAGCCATTGGACGGCTGTGAAGAACATCCTTAAGTACTTTCGTAGGACTAAGGATGCCTTCCTGGTATATGGCGGAAAAGAAGAGCTCAGTATTGTTGGATATACTGATGCCAGCTTCCAGACTGATAGAGACGACTTCAAGTCGCAGGCAGGGTATGTGTTTTGTTTGAATGGTGGAGCTGTTACCTGGAAGGGTTACAAGCAAGATACTACCGCTGATTCCAATACAGAAGCATAGTACATGGCTGCAGCTGAGGCAGCCAAGGAAGGTGTGTGGCTCAAGAATTTTATTACTGAGCTTGGAGTGGTTCCTAGCATCAAGAACCCCCGATGTTTTGCGACAACAATGGGGCAATTGCACAAGCGAAAGAACCTCGGTCTCACCAGAAGACCAAACACATCGTTAGACGTTATCACATCATACGAGAAATCGTTGCACGTGGGGACGTTGAGATTTGCAAGATAGGTACAGACGACAATATCGCGGATCCGTTGACGAAGGCTTTGGGAAAGCCTAAACACGAGAGTCATACGTGGTCCATGGGCATTC